CACTGTGGAGTCTTCGCGCGTAAGTGGATCTAAAGCAAAATTCAAAGTGCCTGAGCGACTGTTGACATTCACATGGGAAAAAGACCAATTCACTGCAATCTCTCGAGTGTTGACGACCCGAGTTGGAATTACTTATTTGCAAGAGCACTCATTCATCTACCATAAGCAGCTGGTGTAATCGTCCCTGCTCCTGCCTCCTAAATACGTACCGTTGGCGCACATGTTCTGATTCCTCACACGATTTGATCAATTTCAGCTAAGTCTGTCCATCCTCTTCCATGAAAAAGAAAGTTTCGGAATTTGGAAAAAAACTATCAAGATCATAGTATTACAATAATACTGCGAAGTTTGAGCTTCATGAGAATGTTGGGTTATAGGCAGGAGTCTGCCAGAAGGCTAACCATGCCTTGCAAAAATTGCAAAAATGGTTCTAGTACCAGCGTCAGGCCCAGGTTGACAGGCCGGCTGATGAAGACCCCAGTCACACCAAACATGTCTAAAAGTCGAAAAAGAATCAGTGATAAAGCTAGGACGTCACCCGGAAGTGGCGCGCAGAACCCCCGCCCGAGTTCTGTGGTCAGTATGCGAGGGCTACCGAGGAGTGAACGGCCTCGGCCAAAGAAGCTAGTTCGAATTGGGACTCGCGGCCTCGGCCAAAGAAGCTAGTTCGAATAGGGACTCTGAACGTAGGATCGCTAACTGGGAAGTCCCGAGAGGTTGCTGATCTGATGACGCGCAGGAATATCCAAGTCCTATGCCTTCAGGAGACGCGATGGAAAGGTGCTAAGGCCAGGGAAATCGGGGAAGGTGTCAAGCTCTACTACAATGGAGAAGACACCAAGCGGAACGGTGTGGCCATAGCGGTAGCGGAGTCGCTCAAGGACTATGTCTCCGCTGTGAACAGGATCAGCGATCGGATCATGGCTGTGAGGATAGACACGAAGGAGGGGTACTGGACCATACTCTCTGTGTACGCACCGCAAGCCGGATGCCCCGAAAGTGACAAGGACGAGTTCTATCTCAGCCTTGACGATGCCATCAGAACGATTCCGGAAGGTGACTACCTCACCATAGCAGGTGATCTGAATGGTCACGTCGGCAGTGAAAGAAGAGGCCTGGAAAGGGTGCACGGAGGTAGAGGAATAGGAGTGAGGAACGCCGAGGGAGAGAGGGTCCTGGACCTGGCTACGGCCCACGATCTGGCAATCTGCAGCACGTTCTTCGCGAAAAGGGAGACTCATAAGGTCACCTACAGCAGTGGAGGACGACAAACGGAAATCGACCATGTGCTGGTAAAAAGATCATCCCTCAGAACTGTGAAGGACGTCAAGGTACTCCCTGGCGAGGAGCTGGCTTCCCAGCACAAGCCACTCCTGGCAGACATAGCCATGGAGCTCCCCAAGAAGACAAAGGTAAGAACCGAGAGGAGAATCCGGTGGTGGAAGTTGCACCGTGCAGAGAAGAGTGACCTCAAGCGAAGGATAATGGAAGTTGGTCTCCCAGATCCTGAGGGACCAGTGCAGCAGGCTTGGGGCACTGCAGCTGAGATCATCCTACGATGCGCCAAGGAGGTACTGGGAGAGACGCGAGGTGGATTCAGAGGAGACAAGGCAGCGTGGTTCTGGAACGAGGAGGTCCAGCGAGTCGTGAAGCAGAAGAAGAGGCATACAAGCGCTGGCAGAAGACCCGGAGCCCCGAGGACCTCGCTGCCTACAAGAGTTGCAAGAGGCTCGCTAAGGCCGCCGTAGCCAAGGCAAAGAACACGGAGATGGACGCCTTGTACGAGAAGTTGGAAAGCAGAAACGCAGAGAAGTTCGTCTTCAGACTGGCCAAAGCCCGGCATCGGGCTACTCAAGATATCAGGGTGGTGAAGAGCGTGAAGAGCAACAACGGCGCCATACTGAGAAAGCCAGCCCAAGTTCGGAGGAGGTGGGAAGAGTACTTCAGAGGTCTTCTGAACGAGGAGTTCTCCCACGAGAACAACTCACGGGCAGAGGCCACAGCTGGTCCCATCGCACTCTGGACAGAGGATGAGGTTCGGCGTGCACTTGGGAAGATGAAGGTTGGAAAGGCAGTTGGTCCGGATGGAGTACCCATAGAGGCTTGGAAGGCCCTGGGAGAGCACGGGGTGAGGTGGCTCACCCGCTTCCTGAATACGGTGACTGCCGAAGGAAGGATGCCGGATGCCTGGAGAACAAGCACTATCGTCCCCATCTTCAAGCAGAAGGGTGACGCGATGGACTGCTCCAACTACCGCGGATCAAGTTGACTGCGCATACCATGAAGCTGTACGAGCGACTGGTCGACTCGAAACTGCGGGAGCTGGTCCCGATCTCCCAGGAACAGTTCGGGTTCATGCCCGAAAGGTCTACAACGGATGCCATCTTCATCGCAAGGCAAGTGATGGAGAAGTATCGAGAAAAGCGCCGACCCTGCTACCTAGCCTTCCTCGACCTGGAGAAGGCGTTCGACCGGCTACCGCGAGCAGTGCTATGGAGGTCGCTTAGGGAACGAAACGTGCCAGAACACCTCATCTCTCTGGTGAGGGATATGTACGAAGGAGCCAAGGCAGCTATACGCACCCCATACGGCCTAACGAAGGAGGTGGACATCACGGTCGGGGTGCACCAAGGGTCAGCTCTGAGCCCGTTCCTCTTCCTCCTAACACTAGATGTCCTGGTGAAGGGGCTCATGGAGGGACCACTGAAGACTATCCTCTACGCTGACGACATCGCCTTGATAGCTGATAGTAGAGAGGAACTTCAAGCCAAGGTGCAGAAATGGCAGAAAGTCCTGCAGAAGGTGGGCTACGGCTGAATGTCAAGAAGACCAAGTTCCTGAGCTCCGAAGAGGGTGCAGAGCCGATCGTGGACGGCCATGGTGAGACCATCGAAAGGGTGGAGGACTTCCGATACCTTGGGAGCGATCTGGCAGCCGACGGTAGTGTGGATCAGGCGGTGAAGGCTCGGGTCAACGCTGCATGGATGAAATGGAGGGAGTCCACTGGAATCCTCTGCGATCGAAGGTGCTCCAGAGCGCTCAAAGGGAAGGTGTACCGGACAGTGGTAAGGCCTGCGATGCTCTACGGCAGCGAGTGCTGGCCTTGAACAAGAATCACGAAAGGCAGCTCACTCTGCCGAAATGAGGATGCTGAGATGGGCCTGCGGCTGGACGCGGCTGGACAAGGTTAGAAACGAGGACGTCAGAGCGGTCATGCAGACTGCCCCTGTCCAGCTGAAGGTACGGAACAGCGTCTGCGATGGTATGGGCATGTGCTAAGGAGGCCACAGGACCATCCGATAAGAACAGCGATGGACTTCGAAGTACAAGGCAAGCGACCGCGAGGAGCCCCAAAGAAAAGGTGGAAAGACGTGATCAAGAAGGACCTAGGTGAGGTCACGGCCACGATGGAAGATGCCCTGGACAGAGCAAAGTGGCGACGACTGACAAAAACAGCGGACCCTGCGACTGCGCGGGACTAACGCTAGGGAGAAGAAGAAGAAGAAGAAGAAGAGGCAGGAGTCTGAGAAGCTCACCGCTTTCCGGGCAGTTGTGTCCGATTGCACCACCCTGGCACTGCTCACCTTGGCCAAGGTTTTTTGGCATACTTACCATAATCTTATCAGAACTTGCACCAACTGTGATGAGCCGGTGGTTAGCCGACGTCGGCAGTGAATCGCAAGGCTGAAAGCTTAAGAACTATTTAATTTTGACTGTGTTTGTTGAATTGTTGACCGCTGTTTTTAGTGTTCTTTTTGTTCATACGAAACCTGCTAGCTAATGGGCAAAACTCTTGCCGAAGGTGGGAGTTGAGACCGACGTCTCATTTTCGGGCAGCAGTTATGCTATCGATTACACCACTGGGGCACCACCTCACCACTATTAAAATTGAGCTTCATTACTGCAAATGATTTTGTTTTGTCGCCATACAATCTTTTACCACGCAGAGAGAAAAACCTAACTGTTAAGTGATTGATCGCTAACCTCAAAATCCAGCAAGAAGAATTTAATCGCTCATCCACCCGAAAGGAAGAATGGCAGCATTAAATCTTATTGTTAGAAAAGGTCAGGTAGATCGCGTGTAAAAACACGCCGCAAATTTCCTGTAAAGGAATTGACAATGTTGACAGAGATCGGCCCTAAACAATATTGCTAGAATTTCGGTGGACACCTATCTAACTTCAAAAAGGGATTCGAGCCTTTGCACGTTCCTCATCTGTCGATCATCCTATCACAGACGGATACAATGTAGGTTGGCAAGAGCCAAAATTCTGTCAAGAGAGTCTTGGCAAGGCCGCCTCTCGATTCACGTCTTGGCACTTCCCAAAATGAAAGGCTATTGCTGGATCCAGTAAATAGGCAGCCTTCTCAACGTCACGTGCACGCTAGTAACCTTTCCCCAATATCATGATCTGAGCAAGTTTTATTTGAAAACAGGGCTCTGTTTTCTTGAAAAAAATTAATTAAAATCACCGTTAAGATCTACTATGCATGACGCGCCTCTTTCCTACTTGCTGGACAATTTTCGACTCCGAAGGACCACTTCATCCTTCACGCTGACCACGAGCTGGTCTTATAAATATCAAAAGAAAGGCGATGATTTCAATGCGGGAATTCATTAGCTGTGCGGTTATGGTAGACGCCTTACCCTGTGCCTTGACAAATCCTGTGTTCTATTAGTTGCGTGCTTGAAGTAGCTCAAAATCCCATGATAAATTTTATCCTTCACTGAATGGGAAATGAAATTGAATTTTCGAATTCTCCCCTGTTGAAAGCTACGCTAGCTGAAAATGTGGTGTGATGCATTGACTGTGCAAAAGCACTGTGAGAATGTTTTCAATTTCAGAAGCGGTGATAGAAGTGCGACGGAACTTGTTTTCAGCTGTTGATTCACTATATAAACATGCGACAACCTACAGAGTTATACGGTTCTTTAGCTAATTTCACCAGACTGCTTTTCTTCCTTTCTGCTCCATCAGACTCTCTTCAGGCCGTTCCAAATGGAGGAGAAACTGCGAGAGCAGCAGCGTGAATCGCAACGGCGAACGACTGCGATTCGCTCGATCGCAATCGCAACGCTTGCCGTCACCACCTGTATGATATCTATGCCAATTGTGTTCACGCGCCTGCAAGAGATTGACAGCCATGTCCGCGGGGAACTTGAAGAGTGCATGGTGAGCTTCCTTTTTCGAAAAAAAAAACTTAGGAATGATGGATTTACTCTTTTTGAAGTGATTGGTGCGTAATTTCGATTGGGAAAACGATCACGGGGGAAATAGTTCATGTTATGTTGATTAGCATAGTGCAAGGAGTGAAAACCTAGCTAGACGCGTGGTCTTGACTGGAAATATCGGGTTGCGAAAGCTTCCCGATCCCGCCTTTTTTGAGTGACGGATAGTCCGAGCCACTTAAACCGAACTAAAACAGTTTCGAAGCGTCTGTAGACGCGCGTTGACGTCTGGTGTAATCTGTTGAATGGACTGCCGCTTTCAGAAATTCCGTTATTAGTTGATATAGTTGAAATGTGGCCCGCACTGCTTGGGAATCCAACAACAGCTAAATTCCGGTTGAGCTGGGTTCTCCTATATTAGAGTTTCCTCGTATAGTCTGACAACAAGTCTCGACATTTATCTTCCCAATGTATCTTTTCGGGAACACTAATTACTCATTAACTAGGCTCTCATCCTTCTGCTTTATATCCTGCGCTACAAACCCGATTCCACCATAAAGGAGTATGTCGATCAAACTCAAATATTCTTCAAGGGAGCAATTATCTTGTTACTCAGCCAATGGTGAGTTTATAGGGAGGTGGCGATAATATGTTATATCAAGTTTGTGGGTTCGAATGATCGGTTGCATATGTTCGGCTTTTAAGATTTCTTCCCGCAATCTCTTACGTCAAGTGATCAGCGTCCATCCCAAATCTCCACTGCTCTCTGCAGCTAGTGCTGTGCTAAGAGAAAAGAGGCAGGCAAATGGTAAGTTCTTTCATCTCTTCTTCTATTACTGTTTTCGCCTCGGAAAGAATACATCTTCTACTAGGCTGCCGGGCTACTTCTGTCACCGAGCTGAGCGCACTTTAGCGACCTCCTGGTCCTCCAGGAATCGTGGCGTCTTGAGGCATCGTACAGGCTCGTCATAAACGGTGAGCAATTGGAGCCATCCGGGACGTCGCTGTCGAGTGATAACAGATGGGTAGATAGGTCTTTAGGTGTACCCCGCAGTACCCTATCGGTGAGGTACAAAACAGCGCGTTCGTAGGTGACTTTATATGCCTTCTCTCAGAGTGCCTACTTAATGGTCACAATTGCGACTTTGGCAGGTTTTCAGAAATTTCGCGATCTCCCCCTTCGATGTGCCAGCTCTACTACCCTACTTATACAGTCCACATTACAGATTATACGGAATCTCTTCGAATGTTATACCGGTTACTCCAGTGAAACAATGGTCACGGTTCTTGCGCGAAATCGCACCATTTTTTGAAACAGCAAGGATAATCGCGTGAAGTAATCAAACGTACATAACTTCCTAAAAATCTGAAATTTTGCAGAACTTAGATTTCTGATTACCGAGACTTCGGTTTTCAGAGGCCTGTTGAAATTCCCTCACCATTTGGACAGTTCCCTGATAGAAAACGAAAATAGAAATTCCAACATCTTCCCTGAGCGGCTCTTTCTTCTGAAGACCTCAACTTCTTTTAATTGCCGACATTTTGCCAAAGCTAATTCAGGACATGTAGTTCTTTTTTTCTATACCAAGTATCATTATGAAGGCTCGCTCTTTTCCCCAGAAGATCGTTTGTCCACATTTTCTTATGCGAATGCCATTTTTTGGTTTTTTCTAGCGGCCGACTACTTTTTTTGTATTGAGTTCCTGTGAAGCTATCTATCAAAGGGCCGCATCAGTTGTTAACAAAAATCGAACGCGTGGCGCATCCCAAACTGGGACAACGTCGGCTGCTTCATCGCTTATTCTTTTACTTCTGAACCCTCATACTTAGTGTTGGCATCAAGTAACTTGATTTACAGCCTACGTAAGTCAATATGATTCGGTGCAGTGTCCCTGCGAAGCACTGCTGGTCCACCTGGACCTACCAGGTCCACGGTGGCCCACTTCATAATACCAGGAAGACCCTGGGTAAGGTCTGTCTTATTTTGAGATCTGGAAAATTCGTTTCGCGCCCTTATTTAAATACTTTTTTCAGGATCACCTGGTCAACCAGGACTCAATGGTCCGCCTGGTCCACCTGGTGTACCAGGAAGGCCAGGGATACCTGGACCTCGTGGTGAGCCAGGTCAGAACGGTCGGGATGGGGTTATTCGCCAGTGGGAGCTCGTCAACCAGGTCCAGCTGGTGCTCCTGGTGACAGAGGGCCTGATGGACCACCTGGAGGTCCAGGACAAGGATCACAACCTGGTACATATCTTTTACTTTCTCTCTTGGATTCTCCAATCTCTTGAGAATCAGATTGAGAAAAACTTGATCATTTAAGGGCCCCCAGGACAACCAGGAGAACCTGGACCGCCAGGAAGACCTGGTCCACCAGGAAACCCAGGAGCGGAAGGCGCCCCAGGAGATCGTGGAGCAGATGGTAAACGTGGAGCTTGCGATCATTGTCCTCCTCCGAGAACTGCACCTGGATATTTCCAATAAGGAGTGTGCTGTTTTGAAAATAAAGACTGTCGGTTGCACTGTTACTTGCAAAATAAGTGTTTGGCCAAATCGAACTGGTTCTACTTGGATGCGACCACAAAAACTTGACAATAGAACTAGGTGCTGAGCAGTCACCAGAAACTTCGAAGCTCTTTATACCACAGTGAATATATGCAACGCCCATGCGCGCAGATTCAGCTGCATATTGCCAAAAAACTTATCAAAGCTCTGTGCACGCTGACCCGCTCGCTTAGTATTCGGCCCGTAATTAAGTATGCGCTCGTTGAGTCATTGTCTCACTGCTAGAACCTACAATTTCATACACACCCAACACCTTGGGTGTTTATGATGGAAACGCCGCGCATAGGTTGTAATACTAAAATTCTTCTATTAGTGTTTGTTCCACGGCGCCGAGAATTTCTGGGATCAGCGGGCATAGTGGTCGTGATTTACTTGTTAAACTGTTGGATGCAGGAACATCACAAGACGACTCAGAGGCTATTGGGTTCGTTATTAGAATGCTTGGAGTATAATGAGCTCATGAAAGTGCCTGACAGCACAAAGATTCTGAGCACGGATGCCGCCGACTAGGATTAAGCGCGGTCCAGTACAAGATAGAAAGATGAGGCGAACCAGGCAAGCGACACCGTCGAAGCGAAATTCGGTAATACTTTCCGCCTCCCGCTCTCTGTCGCTCAGTCTGAGACCCGTAAATATGCCCATAACAACTCACCATCCTGAAAGCCGAAATATATTGAAAAGCAACTGTTAAATTCCTTCCACCAAAACTGTTCATAAAAAAGGCCTACCAGCCCACCCTCCACTGAACAATTTGTTTAAGAAGTACAATAGTGAAAAGTCTAAAAATGATCATTAATGATGAGTCCTACCAAACGACCAAACCAGAAAAGGAACAAAAAAACGACAAAGCTAGTCACTAAAAATGCATAGTACGTGTTCTTTGTTTATTTTCCTTACGCAAGACCTTACCAAATTTTAGTCTATCACATAGTATGGCATTCTCAAATTCACCACGGTCCGCCTTCATTGAATAAAAGCAATTACCCTATTTTCCGGTGTATAAGCCCCCGCTAGTATCATGTAAAAACACCTCCACTGGTGCAGTGTACTTGAGTACATCTAGAGTCAACCGTAACATGCCCATAGGGGTAATTCGATATGCTGATCACGAAAACGACATTCGTTTTTAGCGGTGGCGGCATCTGGCGCCAGTTGGCGCCACCTTGTCACGACCCTTGTTTTCGCCAAAATCGGTGTAAACTTCAGTATAGGGGTTATTTGGGACCCTGATACGGAATATAGTGACATTCCGTTTTTTTGCGCGTCTCACCGCCTCAGTTTTTTAAGGTGCTCGTTTTTCAGAGTTAGTGCACATGTCTCGGTTGGAGAGCGCAGGCAGACGAGCAGAAAATAGGCGTCAAACAGCGCCAGCGCCTATAATGAATGTCATATTCGTAATCAGGGTCCCAAATAACCCCTATACTGAAGTTTACACCGATTTTGACGAAAACAAGGGTCGTGACAAGGTGGCGCCAACTGGCGCCAGATGGCGCCAGCGCTGAAAATGAAAGTCATTTTCGTGATCAGGGCATCGACTTACCTCTATAGGCAAATTTGCGGTGGTTTCTAAGGTGTACAAAGTTACACTGCGCGAGCGGGGGTGGTTTTACGTGAAATCGGCGCGGGCTTATACACCGGAAATTAGGGTAATCGCCTTTCGCCAGCTGTGTGTTGACTGGACTTTGGCGTTGACCGTGGAGCAGCTTATTTACTATTGAAATTTGAACAAATATTCAAATGATTATAACTTTCTTCAAATATGACGAATTTTCAATCTGAAAGCAGATTTGGAAGTTTTGTGAAGAGCTTTTTCTAATCGTCAGTATTGAAATTACGAAAATTAATAAGGAATTACGAATTTAGATCAATTAACGAGGAAAATTCATGATGAGCACGAGTTTTCACACATTCCGAAGTCACAGCTTGCTTCATTTTTGTAAAATTCGAAGTAAACTACTTGGCCGCGCCTGACATAGAACTTAGAACCGCATTTTTCCCTCCTCCTTCCCTCGTCACCTTCTTCACAGCCGTGCATGACATAGATTTAGCAGACCTCTAGCTGGCCGGCGTTTCCAGTAATTGCAAACAATTGGCCACGTCGAGGCTTTGCAAATAAAGACGGGATAACTATGTGCGCGGTGATGTGCGGACCGCGTTTTCACATCATCAAAGCAATTAGAATCCGTGATCAAAACTATCCCAATCCGACCACCGAGAAGGTGCTTTCCCAGTGCAATTTGGCACCATTTCACACGAACTATAGCTCCTTTTACGCGGTGGCGATTAATATAACTAAAGTGATCGCGCCTGGAGCAGATCTGGCGAATCCATCGTTGACCTTTTCTCTTTCCAAGAGCCGTGAGATTGCTTAGCCGTATAAACTTTTTTACGATTACATGCTTATGAGTTTGACGCTGAAGAGTGCGCGCTTCTTGTTGAATAGTGTACTCCTCCCCGTAATTTCACATGATTCCTTTCAGAATCCTCTTGATTTTTCCTGAAATGAGATTCTTCTTCAAAGAGCCGTAGTTGAAGTGCGCGCAACCAACTGGCCCACTCTGGGATGCGCCGTGTGCTTCACATCCCTTCAGATTTGAGGACTTACTTGAAAGATAAAATCCTTGGAAAACGTGCTGAATCTGTTGGATTCTTTAAAGGACGAATTCACGCTGGAAAGGCAACCCATTTCAAATTAAGTTAGCGATGGTGAGTGGTACACTAAAGAAGGAAAAACCATGAGAAACGGCCCAGAACCTGAGAAATGGGACCACTTCCTTGCCCGTTGATTTGAGCATTGATGCGACTATCATCGCTGTGCCCTCTTCAACGCTACGCTCTCTCACCTATCTAATCACTCACCACGTATAGACCTGCGGCGAGTGATCAGATGATCGGTGGGCGTGCACTGACCAGCCGCGGCGGGATTAAACCTTAATAGGTCAACGAGGTCAACTCCTCCTGTGCAAATTGTGCTTCAGTTCGCACACTTAGGAGCTCCGCGGGTCCCTCAACCAGGTGAATTCTTCCCAATTCGTGATCCTGATCGTGAATTCGTCCTTTAAGTGTTGTGTCGTGATAAAACACTTAAGTAGCTATGAATTACTACGCGGACACCTCTGAATCACGAAAATTTTATGTGGGTGGAATAACATTTTTATGGAAGTCCTTTGGCCGTCCATGGCATTGATCTTTGTGATCCGACCGCATCCGATCCGATCTCTTCCTCCCAGCGGGCCAATACGCCCCCCCCCCCCTCGAGCGTGTCTAAGGGAATCCTCAACGCACGGTTGATCATGGGCCGAACTTATTCTACGGCGTAAGAAAAGAGGGCAAGCAGCTCTTTCTTGTAAACGATTGCACTCTTTCAGTCCGATGCTGAAGATTCGACTTAAAAGATAGGAGTTCACAAAGAAATCCTGTTAATAATCATAGGTAGACGGTAGTGTGCAGACTGGAAAATTACATCTTAGATGTTTAATAAAATCTCTTTCGCGGCAGTGATATGCGGTAGACGTGTCTATCGAGTTGGCAGACCGTTCATTCGGACGCAGACGCTCTTCTCTCTGCCTAGAAGCAAGACCCTAGAGCATAGGGGGTAACGGGCAAAGGGCGAGTATGGTCCGGGCTTTGGAGATATCCTCCTCGCGCAATCCGCACAAAGCACGCACCCAGAGCGCGCTTGCTTCCACGTAGACCTCCCGACTCATTCTAGCACTCTCCTTCAAAACATACACAAGACGATGCTGATGGCGGTGTAAGCAGGTCGATAGATAGCCTTGCTTCCGCCAAGCAGTAGGGCCGTGTCGATACAAAGGCGGACGGTACCAAAATTAGGGTACTTATCGCAAACTCTCTCTACGCGACTTCTACCAAGTATCGTTTGCTTCGTGACCCTTCATATGTTCTCTACCAGAGCTTACGTATTTTTCCACCCCATTACTAGCAAAATTACAAACCCATCTGGGTTGTTGTTAAGTGGTAGTTGGCTGTGATTACGCGTCAACTGCACCGTTTCATCCCGTTTCATCCCGTTTCCTTCCGTATTTAGGTGAATCGTGATCGGGGTCACCAAAAAGCCTCAAGGACATGTATGCAATGCAGCATACCGGTATTTCGAGGCATCCATACGCTACTGCTTTTATGTGGAATCAGTAATGTACGCAGAACTTCCTAATGTATAGCACGGCTATATGCGGCTAAAATCAGCGCTTAACAATAAATTTCCGAACAATTTCCTTGTAATTCTTGATGCTGTTGACTTTGAGGTGTGATGTCAGAGCTGCCAAATCTGCAATTTTCGCTCATTGAGTGCGTGGAGGCGAAGTGACTCAGCATCAACCACTGCCCTTCAGAAATACATTACCATCAAATAGAAAAACGACGACAAAACAAATAGATTTATTCTAAAGTCTGGACAGCTTTTTACATGAGTAGCTGGGCGAAAACAGAAACCGACACCAACATTTCTTATTTCGTCAACAAATGATGATCTAAATCCAAGTTAATCACCTCACCTCCAAAATCACATTCAATTTTAGACTGGCTTGTGAAATGGGTATATCTCTTTCGATAAAACTAACATATAAGGATTGATTTCCTACAAATCTAAACCTCTCTGGAAATAATGCACAACAGATGCCACGGACAGTATTCCAACACGTAAAGACTGGGGAAGTGGAAAGAAAGCTTATCTCTGATTAATCTTGCTTCAGCTTCGGTGCATTTACGAATTCTTCGCCATTTATAAATATGAACATCATGCATATCAAAAAGACGGCCAACCAAAACAAGGTGGCAGATATGTTTTCTAAAAATAATCTTGCTATCAACATCATTCGTTTCGAGATAGCGTGCTAAATCAATTACCTGCAACCAGAACACATAGTATTGTCATGGCCATGGCAAAACAAGCCGCTAAAAGGGCTATTCCGTTCTGATCCAATGATATTAACGTAGCTTCTAAGCTTGACGGTAGATTATGAACATCAATTACAAAATTGCCCAAAAACACGTCCATGGCATCCTTAAGACGTTAACACTTACATGAAGGCCGCGACAACGGAATACTGAGTTCATATGGGATCATAAGTACCTGTCTGTACCCATCAGCAAAATTGTTTCGAAAATAGCGAGTTATGGCATTGATGCCGTCGTTTATTGCACCGGTGTATGTCCGCTTTCCCAATCGAGTGAAATCAGCCTAAACAGCTTTGCTTACCATTTTGGGATCTAACTATACTGATGAGAATGATTATTCTCTCGAAGCCCTCTCATCACTGATGATAGAATACCTTGAGAGCACCGGTTCCAGCGTATTGACGACTGCATTCATCTCCATTATCCGCCCACACTAAGATAATTCGATTAAACAATTTTTCGAAAGAATGGCACAAAAAACTCACGATGCTTAAAAGAAGTCTCTAGTTCCTCACACGTTTCAACTCTTTGCCCACCGATTAAAATCCCTAGGTATGTGAGCTGATCGGTCAGCGATTCACGAGCGATCATCGCTTGTACTACATTGGTTCTGAAAACGGACCTCTTTCAAACAATAGCGAAAATATTCTCGCGACAACACCCTGCAAGCTCCTCTGTAGTGACAATTTTAGGGAACGGAGTAAAGTGACAGCAACGTACCGATCAAGGCAATCCATACAGTTTGTTCGGAAAAAGCCTATTTGAGACCGTTGAACAAGGTCAGTATCTGTCAGTTCGGTGGAAGCGGCAAAGAATCTAAACAAGAGAAACAGTAAAGAAAAGCTATTTGAGTCATCAGAATAGGGAGCCGAATAAAAAGGAAGGAAAAACTGCAATTTCAAAGGTTTCACGCTCACGTGAGGGGCAGAAAAAGAAAACTATGGTGCCATTCTCATTGTTTCGCACAGGCATCTGTCTCACTTCAAACCAATCGAGTTTTCAACAAACACAAACGAAGCGAGCGAACACAATAGTGCACAATCAATAAGTAGATGAAACTCACCCAAACTGAGTTATTTCAGGTCGTAGTTGGTCCTTCAGCAACGATAATCGATGCCATTGCATTGCTTGGCATTCCTTGTGAAAGTCGAAGGGATTGTACCTGTCGCGAATATTTAAAATACCAAAAGAACAGAAAAGCGCAAATTTGCGACAAACTTGAAAAACTCAAAAAATAGTGCATGGTGCAAAAGAGAAGGAAATATAGCATTTAGCCAGTTACCTAACATAACTTAGATTAGCTTGTTGAATTATTCGCTCAAGTTCAGCGCCTATCTTCTTTTCTCGTCCTGTTTGATTAACAAGGTTTACAATAACCTGAAAAAAGGAATAACAAAATTAGACACTCAGCGAACTTGTAGGAGATCTGAGTACACTGAAAACATGGGCTGTATTATTATACATTCTAATGGGTGCCTACTGTTGTCCATAGGGAAAATAAAGGTGAAGTATGACCTCGTAGCTTACATGTTGACCACCATAAGTCTTCTTCTGGTTCTCGAAATGCTTCATGTACGCTGAAAGTTGATCGTCACTAGGTTTCATTGTAGGCATTGGCTGCCATTTCAGATTGGGACGCTGAGACCAAAGCAAAGGAATTGAGCCACGTGTCTAAATATTTCATTTCATGCCCACAACACTTTAACTTAGGGTGAAGTCAGTACCTGCAAAAAAGACGTCAACCTTCGGCCCTTGCCTGATATTGTTTCAACTATTTGTTCGGTCTCTACAAAATTAGCAGGATGTCCATCACTGCTTACACCTCTTTTATAAAAGCGTACTCCAGCTCTAGAACGATTTCAATGGATAACTGTAAAGATAGAAAAACGCAATAAGTTGGTGGACTTATGTCTCCGTATATTTACTTGAGTCAAGAAGCCGTCGCAACGAGAGTTTTGGTACCCACAGTGGTGGTTAAGCTTACTACGCAACTAGCTCGATTCCCACAAACTGCGGCCACAACCCTTTTTAGGAACTGAACCTGTATCTGCTCCGCCGCGAAATCAACGACAGTTTAAACTGATTTCCATTTACGCAATGATGAACTTCTCCATAAAATCCATGTATAACTGGTAAAGCAAATCGTGCAATCTTAAGTAGGTTGAGTTACAAATATGTGTGAAAACTTAGGAAAAATAAGAATGAAATGTACTCACGCCTTGCACTGAACGCAGCTGAGATAGGAGGTAGCTATTCCATACGAATCGGGCATCCGCCTTAATCGCTCCACATTCAGTTGGTTGAAAATTTGTGACCAAAGGAGGAAAAATGTAGAAAACAATCTCATACGGAAATTTGAAGATTTCCAGTAATACTACGGAAAGGAGAGCCACGCCAGAATAAAGAGATGACAACAACAACCTTTCAAAATGACCAAAACCAAAAAGAAAATTATATGCTACATGGAACGGCACCGCAAACTCCAATTACCACCCCTAGAGGTGGGCCGGTTTTAGGTGTGACGACTACTATTTTTTTTATTTAATATGCACTCGAGGCGCACCATCGGCAACAACCAGAAAAACAAACCGAACCGTGTCAGGATAACTAGAACAACAACAAAACAAACAGTACACCCTGAACATAAGCACTCGTGGGATGACCAGTAAATAATATTGAGCAGGGCAAAGGGAAGAATTAGCTGAACAAAGTAGGAACAGCCCGACTCTCATGAAGCACCTGAAGAGCAGAGACTATGGATAAAAACCATAAGGTAGCATACTATTAAGCAAATAGCGTACTTTTTGCTGCTGGAATTCACACCTTACTTCCGCCTGGTTATCGCATCCATTGTTGTACTTAAGTATTTCCCAGGCGTCAACCCAGTTAATCGCACTCGCTGCCTTGAACAAGACAAAAACAAGTGAATGTCACTTACACGATCAATCATTGGCATCTGCTTGAATGACGGGGTACCATTTTCGCTCAACCACTGAAGCGATCGTGAAAGATCGACGGAATAGGAGAAGTAGAAACCGGTGATAGCCAGCACGCTTTGCAACATTTCCGTGAAGTGCCGATTATACCATATCTACAAATTTCTCATAAAAAATCCAGCTTGAGTTTCTCAGAAAAGAAAGCTTGCCTGTTTCTCAGTCAAATGTAGCGTTTTTTGTACGGAATAATATCCGTCTCAGTGATCGTCCATATAGAATGTCCATTCAATTTGCCGACCATACGGGCTTTTTTGATGACTATTAAAGCCATACCTGAGGATTTAGTTTAACATGGTACCATACGGGTGATTCATTACAAATCTCAATTATCAACGCATGGACGACGGCGTGAGGTGTTCGCGCGCTACGTTTTTACAGAGAAATCCAGACGTTTTGCACGATTATTTGCATATTTCCATGCTCCAGCGATTGTCTGATCGTACATTATCTATTCGGAAATTTAAGCCCAATCATAGCGGATTTCGGATAAGACTTAATGAAGGTTTTCAAACAATTGTATGCAAAAATGCCGGAGTAGAGGCGCAGTGTCATCAATGAGTTAAAAAGTATCAAACTGACCAGACACTATGGGGATTACACCGAGTAAGCCATAAATTTATGAATATCCGCATCGTGAAGAGGGATTCGCGATGTGGATAAGTCTGAAAAAATCGGTTTTCTGTAGAGAAAATGAAAATATATAGCAAGCGCGAGTGATGGGGCTGTAAATAAATGCAATACTTTCACAGCGTAGTCAAAACGAGAAGAGAACTAATTCCTAGTAGGGCGCATTCATAGTCGGTCGGTCGTCCGATCGTAACGGTCGCACGGCGTTAGATACCTATCGGTCGTTCAACCCCTGACACATTTGACGATTGATATGCATCCAATGCTGTGCAATCGTTACGATCGGACGAACGACTATGAATGCGCCCATAGAAAAATTGAGGTCGTTCTCTAGCGAGAAAGAAAAATCCTAGAGACGAATATGTATATAGCGGTTTCATCAAGCACCATAAAGGAGAAGGACATCGGATATGACGAAAGTAAAAGAGGAAAAAGGAGAGGAAGGAATGCGGAGAACTTAAATTATGTAAAAAGGCTTGAAAACGAAACGCATGAGTGCATCAAGAAAAGCACTCGCACCGCATTTGTCTCGAACGCCTCACGCTTGAAGATTTGAAGAGCTACTTGAATAACCAACAATTATAGATGGTACAATGATGTTTTACCATCCATTACTGTCTATTATTGCTGATGATTTTGTGATTTATTTGCACGTCAGTCTCAGGCTGGTGTCAGAGTCCGCGATCCGTCGCAGGTTTCGCTGATTTTCGCGATTTGCGCGATTCACGCGACGGGTCACGGAAATCACAAGTGCCCGATCAATACTGCAAGGTGTTCTCCAATCCTGCCGCCACTTCTGCTTGATAGTGATGGCTGAATGACGACTGCTCATGATTCCACTTGTTTCATATTCAGTGTTTCAAATGTTCACACACTTGCAATTTTTGCGATCCGTCGCAGGTTTCGCGCAAATCGCGTGAATCGCGCAAATCGCCAAATCGCGTGAATCGCGAAAATCAGCGAAACCTGCGACGGATCGCGGACTCTAACACCAGCCTTAGGGGATCTCAGAGACCGCGAGTTAGCTTGCGTTTACTGCGATTCGCGCAAATTGAAGATTTGAACATTTGAAACACTGAATATGAAACAAGTAGAATCATGAGCAGTCGTCATTCAGCCATCACTATCAAGCAGAAATGGCGGCGGGATTGGAGACACCCCGCAGTATTGACTGGGCACTTGTCGATTTTTGCGATTTGTCGCGCGAAGTGCGGAGTCTGGCACCAACCTTACACTGAGTATTTCGTCAGCGTCTTACAGTTCATTTTGCGCTTCTAGTGAAGCGGACACACATCCAACCTGCGATCGTGCGATCGTAATACTGCATGATCGACACATATTTTCCAAGGGGAGTCGCAAAATTAAAGAGCCGACCCGAAACTTTTAGAACACGCAATTAATGGACAAAAAAAAACCAAAAAAAAATGAATAAGTAAAAAAAAGAAATACCTGATACTCGTATATGATTGGTATGCCGATCGATTTCGAGGTATTGCTCTGATAAACGATTCCCATCTCGATCTCGTGGCTCAATTGTAGAATTTTTCAGCTAATATGTACCTAAATATACGTAATTTCAATTGCAGAGGAAAGCTATTCAATTTCGTCAACAAATAAATACTCACAAATTAAACCCTTATATATGTCGTGGATCTGTGAGAATTCTCACCGGTCAGAATGGCAAGGATACGTATATTAGGTTCAACCAAAAACAAGTAGGAAATCTGGAAGAATATTTGAATACAGTGGTCCAATCTAATTGAGGCTCACACTAGAAAACGAAAAACAAATACAAACAATTATCTCTAATCGACAAGGGAAATATGGAAAAGGGATGCAGTAATTCAGCTTATATTTACTAGGATCATTTCCATAAGTTGGTCGCCGCATAAAAGAGCCTCTAATAAATCACATGAGAGATTAGAAGTGTCCGAACTAGTTCTGTGAAATTTGTTGACGGACCCAAATTGTTTAACACGAAAACATAAAGAATGCTTTTGAGGCGTAAGTGAAAGGCTTCCTGTCTACAAAAATGTGATCCAAATTGGTTGGAACTTGAGAAACGTTGCGATACTGAATACGAAATCGCTGAATAGCGTAATAACTTCGAGAGGTAGGGGATGAATGCAGACGTGGATTTCACCAAAGAAAGTATAGCACTGTACTTGTGAGGGACAAAATAGAAATATCGCGAAGTGAAGAAGTCAATAGAATTGCAAAGCTTTTTCTTCAAGTTTCATAGAGGCAGTGCATTTCATGATTGCCTAAAGGCGATGCCGAAGTTCCACGTGGCCTGTGGCCAATTACTCGCTCGCGATCGCGCCACTCGCGAAAAGTTCACACACCAGAGAAGCCTTTCAGGGTGCACCGTTCATTCAGAAAGGTTCCTAACATCCGAAGAGGTACCTACGTCTAAGCAGTTTAGTTTAGACCATGAAAAAAGAAATGAATGGCCGTTTCGTCCATTATAGGATGTGACTTACTTTAGGGTAGTCACAAGATCGGATGTTATTATGGGAGTAACTAAACAACACAACGCAAAGTTCAACAGCAAAATGAGCAATGCTTTAAACACCTTAGATTGAGCAAAACAATTAAAGAAAAAGGTTGTGCTAGCACTGGGTTGCTTACTAACAAACGATTGTTTACCATTCTTGAAGTAGCCCTGAAAAGTAAAACAATTCCGCATTAATTTTGCACACTCTGTCACCCCCTTACAACATAGAAATGACAGCTTCGATAAGCTGCCAATTCGTAAAGTATTTTCTTGGTTGATAAACCTTAGCTGGTACAGATATACGACCTGAGGGCTTATTGCACGCACTGTTACAACCGCATTTGAAGGTGAGACGGGTCAAAAAAAATTTTCGCTGAAATTTCCCGTAAGGATTATCGACGGTCCTGATCGCAAATATGACATCCATTTTGGGCGGTTGCGCAAAATTGGCCCCGGCTTGCGCCACGACTGATTCTAACCGAATTCGCTGTAAACTTGTGTTTTAGGGTTTATTTAGATTACGGTGATTTTACGCATATTATCTACTTCCTGAGCTCTCGCTCTCTCATAGCGCTGAAACTAAGCTTAGGGGACGGGAGGGTCAGACCCTGGAATGGGTAAACCACACATGGTTTTGCGAAAGCTGAAATCTGTGAGATCACAGAGTAAAAGGCTCACTCATTATGGAGTCCTTCCACTCTCCCAAGGCTTAGTCGTGATTGTGATCTAATCATATCTGTAACCAAGGCTCAAGTAAGGTAGTACATAAACTTACAGCGAAATCGGTCGGAAGAAGTGGTGCAACCTGGGACCAGGTGCAGGTAGGATAGGTGGGAGTAGAGAGCGTAGAGAACAGTAGAGAATATGTGGATATACCGCCCCCGCTCGACGCCTTTTGGAGGAAGAAGTGGGCGGAGTTGGGCTGTGTCGACTGGTCTCAGAATCAAATACTATAGAAACACCCATGATGGTGAGGGTGGTGATCGGAGAAGGGGGAAAGGGGGTTTACGGACTACTTGCACTTTCGTCCATGGTCCTGCCACGAATGGCGGAGAGCACAGACGATCAGAGAATGGCGCCTGGCTCGGCTCCAAATCCCAAGGAGGGAGGTGAGAGCTCTAGGACTAAGCCTTGTAAGGCTGGTGTCAGAGTCCGCGATTCAATTTGCGCGATTTGCGCGACGGGTCACGGAAATCACAAGTGCCCCATCCATACTGCGGATGTTAGAAGAATAAAGTACACAGTAAAGTGTCAAAGGAAAACATTTGACAAATGACGTACGACGTCAAGGGCATGGGTTATTGATGTATTGTTGGTTTCCTTGTA